TGAAGAAGGAAAAGACGGGGAGAAGAAGAAGAAGAAGAAGAAGGGTTTAAAGGAGAAGTTGAAGGAAAAGCTCGGAGGAGGAGAAGAGGAGAAGAAGGAAGAAGCGGTCGCCATCCCGGTTGAGAAGGTAGACGATGATGCACATCTCGAGGAAAAGAAAGGGTTTCTAGACAAGATCAAGGAGAAGCTTCCGGGGCATAGCAAGAAGCCCGAGGAAGCTCCGTCGGCTCCGGAGGCACACTCCGGGGAGCCGGCGTCTCATCCCGAGGAGGAGGGGAAGGAAAAGAAGGGATTTTTGGAGAAGATCAAGGAGAAACTTCCAGGCTACCATGGGAAGGAGGAAGAGAAGCACAAGGAGGAAGCAGGGTCTCATTGAAGATGGGTTAGCTCATAATCCATAATCATTGTGGCGTGGATTTGTTAATGATCTTATCGCTTTGGTTTCTTTCTTTTGTTGTGTTTTTCTTTTTCATGTGCATATGTATGGGATTTGCTTTAAGGTGGGGAAGCGATGGGATGTGTTTCTTTTCATGGTATTTTGTTCTTGTGTGTGTTCGACAATGTTTTAAAAAAAAAAAAGTATTAATGAAGTTATTTATATATATACATATATGTTCGTTTTCTAGTAGTTCATAAAGATTTAGGAATTATGTTCGTCTCATAGAAAAAATGTATTGAATCGAAGGACCTAAAATTGGTCAACGTTATCGATGTTCATACCTAGCCTTCACGTTTATGTATAAAATCTAGAAATAGGTCATCTGATCTAAGTGGTACAATTTTCATGCACTGCTCCAAGTTAGTTCATACCCATAAATACATGCAAGGTCTAAAAACGTTTATAGGGAAGTCACTTCCGTAACCCAACAAGTTGTGAATAGCTTATTCCATTTCGAAATTTCCTTTAAGCTAGCCAACACGCACTAATGTAACATGTGGTGGCCTAAGTCTTTCCTCAATAAAAATATATTTTCTTTGTCATTTTTCTCTTTGGCTTGTCGTGAACAATTAGCTTGCCTTTTCATAACCTTTCATTCATAAATCCCTCTAGTTGAGACGTTACTCCTACTTATAGTTGATATCTAATTAGTAGAGCTGAGTTTTGACCTACCGGCCCTTAGGATTCCGTTCTAAAACATTTTAATTAATTATTTAATTTTTAATAATAATTTTGGTTATTTTAGTTACAATTTAATATTATCAATGGTATGAAAATTTTAAGGAAATCAACGGAATTTGAATAGTTTATGGTTGACATACATGACTAGATCGTTTTAGAGCTACACAGCTCGAGAATCAATAGATTTGAGTTTGTTTTTATTTTCATGTATTTTTCTATTGTATGCCGACTCTAGTCTTAATTTTTTTCTTTTGTACTTGTCTCCCGAGTACCTGTTTTGTAAACTAAATTATTTTGAATGACTTTTATCTTTTATATATATATACACACACGATGAGGTTCTCATTCACTTGTCTCTTATATTTTAAACCAAAAAAAAAAAAAAAAATTATTGAGTTTTTCGAACACTTTGTCAATATGCAACGGTCTATAGCACGATTCCATAAAAAAATAGGTCGTTACACTTCTCCTTCGCCACGATCATAAGTTGTCTCAAAGATTAAGCCATGAGAGCTTATGTTCAAATTGGACAATATCATACCATTGTGGAGGGTCGTGTTCATTTAACATGGTATCAGAGCCATACCCTAAACTTAACCTGTTAATAGAATCCTCAAATGTCTAACAAAGAACTCTAAAAGAAAAGGAGTCGAGGCTCCTCGAAGGCATAATAAAAAATGACTGAGACTCCAAAAGAAAAAGAAGTCGAGCCTCGATTAAGGGGAGGCAACTTTGTTCGAGGGAAGGTGTTGGATGAAAGCCCTACATCGGCTAATTTAGGAAATGATCAAGGGTTTATAATCAAGAAATACTCTCTCCATTGGAGTGAGGCTTTTTCGAGAAGCCCAAAGCAAAGTCATACCATTGTAGAGAGTCGTGTTAATCTTGTGGTATGAGGCCCTTTAAGGAAGCCCAAAGCAAAGCGAAGGGGGACAATATTATATCATTGTACAGAGTCGGGTTCATCTAACAGAAATAACAACAAAATTATCATTTGTATAACCAACAAACAACGAAAATGAAAGGTTAAATGCATACAAAAACCATACCTAGTTCTTAACCAGCTATGAAAAAGAATCCAATCACCATATCCAAAGCAAAACTTAACCCATAAATACAAAGCTTAGCGACCATACAATAGAGCATTATTGTTCTATGTCCGAGTGAGCAAGATGAGGCGGCAGTTGTTGAAGGTTGTGGCCACCGCTGTGCTTGCAGCTGTGAGCTGCTGCTGTGCTCATGGGGATTGGCTGGTCGGCGTCGGGAGCTTCGACATGACTGGCCCGGCTGCAGAAGTGAATATGATGGGGTATGCTAATATGGATCAGAGCGCTGCGGGAATTCATTTTAGGCTCCGAGCAAGGACGTTTATTGTTGCGAAGAGTGTCGATGGGCCGAGAATTGCGTTTGTTAATTTAGATGCTGGCATGGCTTCGCAATTGGTCACTATTAAGGTTCTCGAGAGGCTCAAAGCTAGGTATATATATAAGATACGTTAATAATAAACGCCTCTTTGTTAGAAACCACGAATTTCCACAATGGTACGATAATGTCCACTTTGAATATAAGTTTTTATGATTTTTCTCCTGGTTTACTTATAAACTCATGATCAACCTCTTAATTAGCCAACTTAGGACTTCTCTCCCAACAATCCTCCCCTGAAGCTTATGAAGCCCTAGAACAACCTCCCCTTAATCAAGACTTGACTCCTTTCTCTAGAGCCCTCAAACAAAGTACACCATAGAGCCTCCCCTGAGGTCTGTGGAGACCTCGAACAATGTCCCTTTAATTAAAGCTTAACTCCTTCTCTAGAGTCCTAGAACAAATTACACCCTTTGTATGACACTTTAGTCACTCTTAACTATACCTTCAAGGCTCACAATTTCTTTGTTTAACATTTAAGAATTCTATTCACATGACCAAGTTAAGGATATGACTCGGATACCATATTAGAAACCACGAACCTCTATAAAGGTATGATATTGTCCAAAAGTCCTCATACCAATAGAGACAGTTATTCCTTACTTCTAAACCGATGATCAACCCCTTAATTAGCCGACATGAGACTCCTCTACCAACAATTCTCAAACTCTTAACAATATCGATAAAGATGAATTATTTTTATTACTTCAGCCTTACATTTTTGTCGAAACTAAAACCATGACATTTTGTACAAAGGTTCGGAAATCTATACACAGAAGAAAACATAGCGATAAGTGGAATCCACACACACGCTGGCCCGGGCGGCTACTTACAATACCTAGTCTACTCCATAACATCACTCGGCTTCGTTCAACAATCCTTCGACGCCATTGTCAATGCAATCGAACAAAGCATCGTCCAAGCTCACCAAAGCCTAAAACCAGGGTTCATATTAATCAACAAAGGCAAGAAGAGCATGGTTGAATAATGATTAATTTATGGATGGGGTTGTTGAATGAAAGTAGTGTGGATGTTGCAGGGGAAGTGGAGAATGCGGGGATCAATAGAAGCCCAAGTGCTTACCTTATGAACCCACCGGAGGAACGAGCTCGATATCCAACCAATGTGGACACGGAAATGAGCCTTGTGAAGGTGGTGGAGGGAGGCAGCGGGAAGAGCCTTGGCGCATTCAGCTGGTTCCCCACGCATGGGACTTCCATGAGTAGAGATAATAAGCTCATCAGTGGGGATAACAAGGGCGCTGCTGCCAGGTTTTTTGAGGACTGGCTCGCCGCCTCTAACCGTTCTACCAGAGCCACCCCCTCCAATAAGTCAGGTCAATTGGAAAAGTTTTTTTTTTTTTTTTTTTTTTTTTTTTTTTTTTTTTTTTTT